TTTGCAGTTGATAGTCATAAATGGTAGGTAGGTAACTAAGGTGGGGTTAGCGTGGTGATAAATTCACGTGCATCGCCATACATGAGCTTCTTATAAGATTTTTGGGTTGGTGTAAAATATTTTGTTTTAATAATTTTATGATGATCTGGCAGATTTCCTAGATTTGGTTGGTCATGGGCCGCTACGTAAAATTAATTTATATGTTTTAAATATTTTAAGTTGTTAATTACTATAATTTATAAAAAAAAATTAACGTGATTTACAAATATATCACAAGTAAAAAGAAAGAGTTTTTTTTTAAATCCAAAAGAGTATTGAATTTTCAGAAGGCATGTCGACGAACAATTGTGTATTTTTAATTAAACGCTTCTATATAGTGGAGTAATAGTTTTTGAGAAATAAGTTAATAATTATTGTGTTGGATAGAATAATGAAAAATTTAATAATTACAAGAAAGATATTATTGTAGCTTCCTTAAAAGTAAATATATGGAGTTGACACAAGAAAAACAAAATCTACCTTCTTTTTTAAGTAAATATATGTATAGTGGAGTATTAATTAACAAAATCATGATTAGAGAAGTGTACTTATGCTAATAGACGTGAAAGTACCGCATTATAGTTACACATAATTAATTAGCAATATTATTTGCGACTATACTAAGTTGCATTAAACCATTGACCCAAATTAATTCCACTCGAAATTTAAATTTTTGATTTTATTGAGTCGCTCTGAATTACGTCAAAAATAATATAGGGGCAATAAGTGAATGCACATGGGTGGTTGGTTTTTGTAGATGTAAGTAGAAGCTAACTAAAATGAATTATTTTTCGATTCACATGTTTGTATATTTGCCTTTTCTTCTATACTTACTATATATCACGGTCCTTCTATACCATATACACGTATATACACTCTTGTTCCTTCTTAGATGTCACAAATATTATACATTCTTTCCGTTTCAATATATTTGTTTGATATTGATTTTGATATTGAATTTAAGAATTTTGATTGTGTGGTCGTAACTCGTAAACATATCATTATTAGAAAGGGAAAGAAAAGATCTTTTTCTAAAGAAATCAAATTAAAAAGAAAAGCAAGACAAACAAATTGAAGCAGAAAGAAATATTCATTATAGTATATTCACTCTTTAAAGTTAATTGAGTTTATCTATTTAAGTCGTGATCATTAGAATGTAGGCTTTAGTAATACATTTTTTTTTTTCTAAAAAAAAGTTTGATCCAAGGAAACTTCATGTAAAAACACAAAATTGAGCTCTCAAATAACAAATTGAAGTAGTTTAGTTTTTTCCCCATTACTTGATGTTTAAAATTCATTAATTCAAAATCGCCTTATATATGAAAATTCATTATGAAAGCGCTTCCTTTGAAAGAAAACTTCATTTTCAGAGTTTGAACCCGAACTCTTTAATTCTAAGTGAAAAGTACCATTTTGCTTCAATCGACATGCCTAAGTGGTGTTATGCTCTTTTTATAATACCAATAATTGAAGCTAAGAAAATACTAATTAAATCGAAGAACAAGCTAGTGAGAATAATAAAAACAATACTGATAAAAAATTATGTTATACATAACTATCTATTTAATTACTTCTATTTTAATTCTTAACCTCTAAATCTTCTTATCCAAAATTTCAAAATTTTAACTAAAAAATATCCCAGAAAAAAATACGTGGGTGACAATGCATTTTTAAAACGTATGACTTATATCGTAGTTCGAATGGAAAACTATGTTTTTTTCCTATCCATTTTGTGGTTATTTTATGTGATAGGAAACATAAAAAAAATAAAAATGCACATGGTTTCAGTTATATTCATGACTCAATATACATAGAATTGGTATTCGAATTTGTTGGATATATTTCATAGTACGTATATATTACGATGGAGGTAACGTGAGACGTTTTATTTAACATGAGATGATGTTTATGAGGTGTAAGTTTGTATGTATGTGTAAATTTTTAGTTGATAATATAGTAAAATAGTTAATAAATTAAAATTTTAAAAAAATATTTTTCAACACTTTAATTTTTATATTTACAAGAGTGAAATCTCCACTTGCATCCAAATTTACGTCTATCATGCAGTGTCGAATCTCTCAGACCTATAATACAGTGGGGGGAAATATTTCTTGGGGAAATCAAATTTTATCTATAAAAAGTTATAAATTATAATAAAAGATATTTTAATTAAGTGATATATATGTATTTAATTTGGTATATATATAAGAATATTCAAGATTTAGAGAAGATGAGTGTATTATAACAAGGAGATGAATCTATAATCTAAATTTAACTAATTTGACATTTTAAATTCTTATCATTATACCATTACAGGTTCATTATGTTGAGGAAAATGACTTAAATTTATAGCCAAAACAAAATTTAAAAAAATGTAGCACAAATTGAAATAAAAAGACATTCTAGTTAATATTCATGTCCAATCTTTTTTATAATTAAAAGTAATTTAATTTTAATATTTCTCTTTATTTTTAATTAGAAAACTTATAATCATATAAATGTCTAAGGTTTTGCTTTACATCATAAATCTCAATAAAAATAATAATAATTAAACTTTATGTATATAATTAAACGGTATCGTACAAATTAGGACTGCAAAATTAATAATAAAGTGATATATGTTTGTAATAATGACACACCATATATGATTTTTTATATTAATGTAATCAGATTTAAATTTAGAGAAGACGAGTGAATTATTATGAAAGAGGTGTATCCGATATTCACGAATCTTTAGTTTTTTTACTATTGAATTCATTATATTTTTAAAATTATGAGTTATTTTTTATTATATACTTTCATATATTTGCGTGCAAAAAAGATTGGTATAATTCATAATTATATCAGTTGAATTATGATCTTCTATTTATAGCAAAACATCTAGCAACTAACTATTCATCAAATTTTATAAATTAAAACTATTTTAAATTTAGAAATTTTGTTAGCCTGCCTTTTAAAAAAAAAAAAAAAACATAAATTGGTATATATATAATATTGATCATTATTTTTTAAAAAAATAAAACATAGCTTGCTCAAACAGCTAACAGTAATTGAACGGAACTCACTCATTCACATGATATTTTGGAAACTGTTATTACTATTCAAAATAACACTATTCTATTACCATAAAGAATATGAGAAATTTTGTAGATTAATTTGCATGAAAATTGTAATAAAAGATTACTTAATGTATTCTAATCATGGTTTAAAAATTTATTTTATATGATTTCATTTCACCATTTTTTTTATAGAAAAAAGATATGTATCCCCCGTTCATCCTTTTTGGTTAGGAGACGACAAATATTTCATGGGATACAGATGAAAGATATCTAATACTGATCTTTCAAATTTTGATACGATATGATAAATCTTGATTTGGTTCAATAATTTATGCCCACCTCAAATTGTTTTGTAGAAAGAAATTGGATTTAATTTCTAAACGATCACGGTAATAGGTAAAATTATTGGACTTCAACTACTAATATCGTTGAGTGATCAAAAACTTAAGGTAGAAACGTAAAGATAGTTAATTTTATGAATTATGATAGCAAGTTGCTAGTATTTGGTATAGTTGCCATTGAACGATTTATTATCGAGGGGTACATCAAGAAGTCCGAATATAAATTCGATTGAATTCATTAATTTTTACTGATCAAAATAAGATTATTATTCTAAAATTCTAACTCTACTTCTGATATTATCATATCAAAATATCCTAAGCAACTTGTTCAAAATCGAGCAATATGATTAAAAGCAACAAGAATTTAATGAACCTTTTCATTCGTTAGGTGCATTGATCCTTCATTCCAATGGTAATAGTTCCTCCGTCCAATAATATTTGTTCACTTTATGAAATCAATGAATAATCTTATACTTAATTTTTAATTTACCCTTATTATTAATTATAGTCATTTCTCAATTACATTTTTTAAAACATTGTATTTATTATATTCAAAAGGGTGATATAGTAAAATTATCTTTATATTTATAATTTCATAAGAAGTGTGCAAAATCAACATTGAACAAGTATTGTTGAACAGAGAGAATATAATAAAATTCCAAATTATTTACAATTCTTTCTGTGTAAAATTACATAAATAATTTCTCCAAATAACAGATTAAAATATTATAACCACACAATCAAGAATCTCAAGGTTCTATTCTTCAAGTGTTTGCCATAAGTTTAAGCAAAAATCATTAAAACCTCCATTATTTCATTCTCATGTGCCAATTGAGCAAAGACGAAACCAAAATCTCAATCTTATGAAATTTGTATTTTATAAAGATGATTTCAAGTATTAATATACCTATAGTAATTTTTTAAAATATAAATATACTTACTAAATTCGATTGAACTCGTACTCGATACCAAGAAATTAGGTCTCTTCATCATCACTTGCAATTCACATGTATACTTGTAGAAAGAAAATTTATTTCCATTTTTTTTCTCCATCAACATAGTAAAAGGGGAAAAAGGATAAATATATCTCTGAACTATCGTAAATGGTATGCAGATACCCTCCGTCATATTTTTGGGACATTGATGCCTCTGCTATCCAAAAATTAGGGTATATAATCCCTTCACTTTAATGGAAGACTAAATAGGAACACGTGACACAATCTTATCCGTCGATTTGATATTTAATAAATGTCGGATCGATAGATAAGATTATAACACGTGTATGTCCGTTAGTATAAAATGTATATATGCTCTAATTTTTGAACGGTAGGGGCATCAATGTTCCAAAACTATGACAGAGGGTATCTGCATATCATTTACGATAGTTCGAGAATATATTTGTTTTTTTTTCCTAGTAAAAAAAAGATAGTATAACTAAATTACCAAAAAGTTAAAATAAAAAAAAAATAAAAAAATAAAAGAGAGCATTAATTATATGCCCTGCCCTTGTGACTTTCCTTCTCAATAAGTACCCACCTTCCTCCCGCTCTTCATTCACCTCCAAAATCCCATTTTCCATTTCTCTCTCTACTTTCTCTCTCTTCACACTGAGCAGTAAGCGAGCGAGTATGAGAAAAATGGCTGCCACTATGATGCTCTACATTACTACTACTATTCTTCTCTGTTTTCTCACTGCCGTCAATGCCAGAATCCCCGGCGTTTATACCGGCGGACCATGGCAAAGCGCCCACGCCACCTTCTACGGTGGCTCTGACGCATCTGGAACTATGGGTAACTACTACTCTCTTAGTTGCGGAGCTTGAATCCAGTAGCTTTTACTCAATTTCATGTTGAGAAGTTCGCTAATTATATACAAATATTAGATTTAGAACTCAGATATAATCGTGTTTGGCCATGAAAACAGCAGCTTATGGTATTTGAAGCGAAAAGCTAAATTTGAAAAATCGAAATTGTGTTTAATCATGAATACTTACAGGAGTTGTTTTTGAATTGTTGTGAGTAATTTAGAGTGAAAATACAACTTTTCTTCGAGTTGAATTTCGAAATTTTCCGAAATGTAATGGCAAGATGTGTTGTCACATCCTCGTTCATGGATTTTTAACTCATAAAATTGAAAATCTGGCTCACTGAATCACTCATTTGTTTTTTGTTTTTCAAATTTGGGCGAATTTTTTGAATTTGTAGGTGGAGCTTGTGGATATGGCAATCTATACAGCCAAGGTTACGGAGTGAATAATGCAGCGCTAAGCACAGTGCTATTCAACAATGGACTAAGCTGCGGAGCCTGCTTTGAATTAAAGTGTGATAACGATGGCAAATGGTGTCTTCCTGGTAATCCATCCATTTTTGTAACGGCGACAAATTTTTGCCCGCCGAACTTCGCTTTACCAAACGATGACGGCGGGTGGTGCAACCCTCCTCGTCCTCATTTCGATCTCGCCATGCCTATGTTCCTCAAAATCGGACTGTACCGTGCCGGAATTGTCCCCGTCACTTACCGCCGGTGAGTTTTCCGATACGCATTTCCATTTTTGCTTACCGTTTATATTTTCGGGAAGTTTCGCCTAACTGTTTTTTTCTGGTTTGCACCAATATGTGTTGTGGTCCTTTTTGCATACATGCTACTTCTTTGTTCTATTTATGTGTCATTTTTTGGATTTTGAGATTCAATTAATTGTATCTTTGATCTTAAATTTTTCATAAATTTTTTTTAACATTTTGATATTAATTATTTGAAGATTCTACATGCAAATTTCCGATCAAAGTTAAACAACTTGACTCTCGAAAAATGAAAAGTGTCACATAAATTAAAACGGAGTAAAAAAACATTTAGGGGTATTTTTGACATTTTGAAGGCGGGTATGGGAAAAGATTTGATATGCAGAGAAAATCTGTCAATTAATTAGATTTTGTTTTGTAGGCAGAAAATTGCAACTGTTTTTTTTACAATTTTGGACCATACCGTAATTTAATGGTAGCCTTATTTATGAAGTATTTAAGAAAAAAATATATTTTCTCTTTTGTCATCGCAAATTTGAGGTATTTTATATATTAAAATATCTTTTAATCTGGTGTTCTCTTTAGTATAAAGTTGAAGACAAAGAGTTATTAAAATAAATAAGTAATCTTTTAAAAGAAAAATAAAACACATTAATTAAAATAAAGTACTTACTATGAATGAGTGTGTTAGACTTTCAAAACGTGCTTCATTTGATATGAAATTTAAGAAAGAAAATTTTAATTTTGTCATGATAATTGCATAATTATACTAATATTTTGGGTTTTTGAATTGAGCGACTATAAAGACTTACAATTAGTCATAAAATAGAAAAGTTAAAGTTTAATTATTTGTAAATATGAAAATATATTCTTCAAAAGTATTAATAAGAAAATACTATGAGTATTTTTACTCCTTTGTATGTTTCTATTTGTTTGAAGATTTTTGAAGTTTGTGTGTGCTAAGTTTAAAATGAAAAATTTTATTTAAATAAATTGCAAAAACATGGTTTCCATTTGGGACACCGACAAAAATTATAGGCTTGCTATAACTTGCCACCATATCTCTCAACATTTTAAAGCTAGTTTCATTATCACTATGATAATTATTTGAATTAGGGGTTGGTCTCATTCTTGTTTAAAATATGTGTCGTTTTTACTCATTTTATGTTTATAAACAATAACAAATATTAAGACAAAATTTATATAATTTATATTTTAATATAGAAATATAATTGGAAATAGTATGACGCGTTTTCGTACCATATGTATAAGGGAATGTTAAAGTTACAATTTTGAGGTGACTTTGAGGGTAACAATGGAAATGTCTCATTCCTATAAAATGTGACCAAACAAAAAATTGGGATTTGTTCCTTTTTGCTTCAAATTCAGTAATTCGAAACATGGCTCACATTATCCCACGCCCTTGTTGGCCCCCACCATCCATGACCGATCCGTCTACTCTATTTATTCGATATTTACTAGCTCGATTAAATTATTGTTCGCAGAGTACCATGCAGAAAACAAGGAGGGATTCGATTCACAATAAACGGTTTCCGTTACTTCAATTTGTTATTGGTAACAAACGTTGCGGGTGCAGGGGACATACAGAAGGTCTTAATTAAAGGAACAAACACACAATGGATAGCAATGAGTCGTAATTGGGGGCAAAATTGGCAAACTAATTCACCTCTAGTGGGTCAAGCCCTTTCTATTCGGGTTAAAGCTAGTGATCATCGTAGTGTCACTAATGTCAACGTGGCACCATCTAATTGGCAGTTTGGACAAACTTTTGAAGGCAAGAATTTCCGGGTTTAGATCCATAAACCCATTCCCACTGACCCGACCCGACCCGAAAAAAAGAATTACTTATTACTTACAAGCTATATACCACAAACAAGAATTTTTCCTGGACTTTAATTGTTTCTCTTTTTTACTGAGAAAGTATTGAAGTCCAAGGGGAATTAGTATCTTTTAATTTTTTTTGTGAACTTTAGTATTGTTTTTTAAATATTTGATGTTATGAAGTGGGCTGAAGAGGTTGCAAAAGCACCCAAAAAAGATTTAAAGGGAAAAAGCATGTAGCCCGCAGCTCTATTTGGCATGTTAGTAGGGAGTGATGTTGTAATGAACATCATGTATTTCCTATGAATGAATACCAAAAGATATAAATAATATATATGATATACTTTTTATGTTTTTATTAATAAGATTTTACTTTTTAAACTAAGTTCATTTTCTGATATGCTCTATTGTTTCATGTGGCTGGCTTGGTTTTAAAAATTTAATTGTCTAAGGGTCAAATAATCTTATCACTCACTAATGTGTGAATCTAACACATACCACACGTTCAGTAGATGTTTCGGGTTTAAGTCTTCTTAGATATGAAGTCACTTTGTTAGGAAGCTTTTCACTATTAGTGTAAAGACTTTTTTAATTTAGTCAGAATTTAATGTGGATATCAATGATCAAGTGAAAATCAAAATAAAATAAAAGAACATTTTAAGTGAAGACAAATAAGATGGATGCAACTTTGGATAATTCATATGATGAGTCTAGTTTAGATATCATGATTAAAAATACATTTTAAATCTAACTTAATGTATAAATAATGAAGCAATAATTGTTTCAGAAATCAAATACTTCATCACCCACCTATATAGAAAATAGTTTTTTTTTTTTTTTTAGATATACACTCCATTCGTTTCATTATACCAATATATTAAAAATAGATTATTATTTTTTTACTTGTTTATCCTAGTAATTTAAGAGATTTTTAATACTATCTTTATCATTGGACATTACTGTTATTTTCTTCGTTTTAATTTGTTTGTTTTATTTTGACTTGACATGAAATTTAAGAGAGTAAATAAAAGTTGTAAAAATTACATAAATTTTATAGTGTTATGAGTTAATTACATTCTATTTTAATTCTTTCCCAAATTACAAAAATCCCTTAAATTTATAGGATTTGAGATACATTAAGAAACTTGCGGATACATAGCTCACGGATGTATCCGAGAGGGGAGGAATGTATCCGAGAAGGGATAGAGATTTAGGTAATTTTTCCACTTTACAATTTACGGGCTTAAACATGTCAAAAATTATCAAACAAGAAAGAGTTTTTTGATATGAACTAAAATAAATTCAAACAGAGGAAGTAATAGTTAAATTTAAATTTTTAAATCCATATTTAATAAAATTTATTTAATAAAATAAACTTCTCATAATATTTTAGGGAGCGTTTCTCTCTAAATGAAGCCCTATGCAGTACGATTCCAAATTAGTCGAGCTCTATGAATACCAACACCAAATGAAAATAAAATAAAATATAGTGTTTGGGACGAAAATATGAATCTTATTTAGTAACTTATAAACTACATTAGCCTATGTTGATATGATTCAATTTACTCAAAACTAAGTAATAGATAATGTGTCTGATTACTAAAAAAATCATTTTTGTCATAAATATGGGAAAATATTTGACAGTAAGAGCATTATTGCTTTTTTTCACTGAAAATTTAATATTTGGTCAAAGACATAAAGTGATGCAATGAATAAGTAACCATCTTTTTACCAAAATGAATATATATTTTTAATTTTAAAACTTTTAAAGCAATAATAATTGAACAATGAATATAAATTGAGTATTAAAATTAATGAGAGTGGTGTGATGTTCTGATTTATGTAGAACTTTTGTTGTACTGTTCAGCTCTGTCTTTTTGCTGTGTTTAATTAATTTGATTATGACTTTCCTCCGAAGTTAGGTAGGTCTAAGGTTTTTTTCAATGAATAAAATTATTTTTTCATAAATATATATGGTAAATGTTGAATCGTTTTTAATTTGTGGGTGTATTAACTTTTTTATATATATATTTTAAGATCTCTTGATAAAAATATTGACGCTGACTTAACCTATTTCACGCAGTCATTTTAAATACTGATATTAATGTTTTTGTATCATTATTTTTGGTATTTATTGACTGATATACTTATATGATGACTGTTGCAACTTGCATAGTTTTTGTCTTAAATTATTTTATGTAATCTTTAAATTAGTTGTCTTACATTATTTTTTATTTTAAAATTTTAAAATTAAAATTAATTGTTTGTTTTTAATTTTATCCTCGATAGTAATTGTCTGTGAATACTAGAAAGGGAAAATTACGTGTATAAGCAAACATATACTAGTTAATTAGTTAACATAGTTATAGTTTGCCTTAATTACAATTCACGGCCTACTTTTAGCTATAATTACGCGCCTCAACTTGTTAGTTTTGTATAATTCGCACATTTGTATAATTCGGAATTTGTAATAATAATTTGTATAACTATTTACACTTCTGATGTTTGTAATTGTATAAATTCGTTATTTCGAATTTATACAAAAATAACTGAATTATACAAATATACCCGCAAATTATATAAACCTGCGAATTATACAAATCCGCAAATTATACAAACGAGACAGCTTAAACTGTAGCTACAACCCGTAAATTTACAAACTATAGCTATAGAACATAATTAAGTTTGTTACAGTGACTATTTGTGAAAGTTCCTGTCGTTGTTAACTTTTAGAGTGTGATTAAAAAAAATATAAAAAGAATCATACACAATTCTAAATTAATATATTTTCTATAAGATTTTTGCAAATATAATATTTTCAAGCAGTAATATATTTATTTACATTATATAGCCTACATATGCAATGTTTTTCGAGCCTCTCATGGTCTTAGAACTTACATTTAAAATTTTATATTATGAGCTAATTAATTAGGTATATATGTTAAAACTCTAGTTGATATGTTGTGACTTGTTAATTAGACTTTAGCAAGTTGTGTTAGCTAGCTTAGCTTAATTTTATAACGACTTTATTGATAATTAATACAACAACTACTTCTTTTTTAAAGTCTTAGCCTCATATAGTCTTCTCATGAGGCACAAAGCAAAAACTCAACATGGGGTTACTTTATATGATTGATGGTTCATCCAATAAAAGTGAGTTCGAAGTCAAAAGGGCACAAAAATTATCAAAAATTCCAAAAGAACACATCAATTTTTTTTTAAAACAAAAGGGTAAAATCGCTTCTGACGGAGTGATTTTCTTCTAACAAAATTGACGCCGTTACTCCTTTAAAAAACATAAAAATCGCTGCCCCAGCAGCGATTTTGTCCAAAAAAAAATTTTCTTTTTTCTTTACGGCAACAATTTTGTGAAATTTTTCCCCAGCAGCGTTTTTCTCAAAAAAATAAATAGAAATAGCTGCTATAGCAGCCATTTTCTTAAAAAAGTTTAAATTTTTTTTATTAAAAATTCCCGAGGTGAGGACTGCTTAAAAAAATAATGGGAAATCGCTCCACGTGTAGTGATTTTAGTTTTAATTTATTTTATTTTTTTTAATAATCGTTGCTAAGGCAACAATTTCAGTAAGAATTTTTATTATTATTTTCAAATTGCTGCTAGCAATCAAAAAGTATACAATAAAAAATTATAAAGTAACTCAATTGGGAAATTTTTTCTACTGAAATTGCTGCCTTGGCAGCGATTATTAAAAAAAATATTTTAAACTAAAATCGCTACACGTGGAGTGATTTCCATTTTTTTAAAATAATTTCTGACAGAAAATTGACGCTGCCATAGCAGCGATTTAATTTTTTTGAAAAACAAAATCGTTGTTGGGGCAGCGATTTTTATGTTTTTTAAAGGAGTAACGGCGTCAATTTGTCAGGAGTGATTTTTCCCTTTTGGTTAAAAAAAATTTTGATGTGCCCTTTTGAAATTTTCAACAATTTTTTTTGCCCTTTTGACTTCGAACTCTATATCAAGATCACAATTAGTAAACATGAAATTTATGGTAATTCCTAACTAATTAATCGCTAAAAATCTCTTAGCTAATTGAATTTTCTTATAATTCATCGTTAATCCACAGCTAAATGAGATCAACATGAAATTTTTATTGTTTAGTGGTAAAATTACGTCTGCCGCTAATTCTTTGTTTCACTACTAAAAAATCACTATTCTCCTACCTAAAAATGTTCGGAGGCTATTCCCATTGATATTTTGATTGAATCGGCTAGAAAACAAAACATAGTAATGTTCTCATATGGAAAAAATTAGGAATTTCCCCATTATATATTTCAGTTGAGAATTTGTTTATCACCATGTATTTTTTCAGTGAACTAGTTTGATGAAAAATGCGTGAAAAGATCATGTTCTATGAAATAAATTTCTCATTAATTCACAATAGAAAAAACATTTGTTTCTAATAGTATTTTCTTATAATACATGAAACCACACATTGCATTGAGTCTTGGACCCATTGTAGGGCTAAGTACTTGTGATTTCATTGAACTACAATCATACATTTAGTGAGAATAATTTTAGAGCCCATGTTCATAGTTTTTCCAACATGCACGTTGTACTATTTTGTTTGTGATTAATCACATTCTAGAGGTGACCACATTCATTTTATGGACCACTTAAGAATCAGTACACTTATCTAGCTGTGCTTTCTTTTTTGATGAAATTCTAATTATATGTCTCTGTCGATTCTGATATGATAATCATTTTAATTTAGTCTATCTCAAAAAAATTGATACATTTTTTATTTTAAACATCTCTATTTCTATTTTTATCTTAATTACATACTCAACTTGTTAATTAAGATATTATTTTCCATCACACAACTTATATATAGTATATAGTAGAGATAAAGGTGAATGGACATGTTGATAGTAAAGTAAAGGGTAATTTTGATATTTAATTTTGTAACTAATAGTTAATGGGCATTGATAACATGTGAACTTATTCCATTTTTCTTATCTTTCAAGTTTATCAATTAGAAATTG